GCTACCAGGAACGCCCAATAGGCGTTCTTGTGTCATGACGGGAACGCCCAAGCCGCAGCTGGACCCTTCTCCAGGCAACAGGATGCTGACTGCAGTTCACTTATTAGCCACCGGTGTCACCATTATTGTTTTATCTGAAAGTTATATATCAAACCTTTAACACTGTACTTAAAGCAATGTACACCTACATACAGAAAGAGAAGCATGTTCCAGCCTGTATTAGTTTGTCACTCACCTATAAAGCGCTTTGTACTTTGTGCTTTACTTTGTGTGTTTGGTGGGCTGGTTAAGCCACTGGGCAGACCAAACAGGACCAGCTGGGTTTCTCCTTCTTGACAGTCCAGTTTTGTAAAAGATGACTGGAGAAGTGAAGCGGCACCTCAGTCTACTTCAGTCAGTGTTCAACCCTCGTACCTGCCGCCTCAAATGCTAATTGTCACGTCTTTGCTTTGGATGATCACAGGAAAGGGTGACAAATGATGCAATTAATTCTGAACGACACCAGCTGTGTCATGCACAGGCAGTCCCGCAGGCGAGCAGACGACTGTCTCACCGAGTGCGTAGCTTTCATCCACACTTTCAGACTGGAGAGCTTATCTGCCTGGAATGACCCCGTCGCATAACTCCAAACACTTCAAAACAAAGAGGATTCATATTTTGGGTGTAATCGACATGCTTTCAGACAGCATCTCAGATGGAAAATGAAGCGTGGTCCTTCTGAAGGACAAGCTGTTCCAGTGGCTGAGTTTTTTTCTTCTGAGGCACTGAAGGGAGGATAATGGATGAATTGCTTCTGATTCAGTTGGCTCCCCTTCTACCTGAGCTGCGGAGATGAATGCAGGGCCAGGCCAGGTTGACCAATCTGTTCCTTTAATCCAGACATCTCCTCACCTGATTAGTTCCCTTGATTGTTTTGGCTGTGCTGCCAAGGGAGGGACAGTAATTTAATAACAGGAAGCAAATGTGCTCACTGTGCTTTTGATTAAACAGCCGCAATCATCGACTGCAGGAAGGCACACACAGCGGGCTGCTGTGAGCTTTACATTCAGGTGTGGTTTGAAGCAGTGTGCTTTAATCCAGGAGTTCTCAAACTTTTGTAACGAACACCTTCCCAAGTAAAGGAGAAAAAACAAACTGGACAGGATTTCACCACAAATAAATATGATTTTTGAGAGTTGTTTCTCTTTTATTGGATGTTATGATTGTCTGAGAAGCTTTAATGGATTACCCGGTGGTTCTTCTTTAATGAAGAACCTCCATACAGAAATCAATCCCGTGGACAGATGAAATGTGGGAATTCACTGGCTTTGTCATCAAGGCCTGTGAAAGCGCCAAGGCCTTTTGCTGCCTTTAACACCCTCTGAAGAAGCTGAAGAGGAGGAAGGGAAAGGAAAAGCGACTCCTCAGCCCATAATTATTCTGAGTGAAAAATATGTGTATATATATAGATGTACACAGTCTATAAGAGGATCGTTTTAAAAAAAATAGATTTCAACAGTATCCAAACTGCGCAGTGATGCACTCTCCATTCAAGCTCAAACCTAAGAACATGCCAAATTCCATCCTGAATGTCTGTAATTTTACAACATGACATGAGTCAAGCCCACTCAAGAGTGCTTCTGAATGAAAAGTGCTTCCACAGAGAGAGCAGTTTCTAATTTAAATGTGTTCTGTGTGTTTTTTTCAGGGGTGAAAAAAACATTTTCCAAGAGTAAAAGTAATGCACTGGCTGTGATTTAAAAGGTAACATGGTTTTGGTCTGTTTTGGTCAAGGGGAAAGAGGAGGAGAGCAGAGAGGAGACAGGATGAAGAGAAGAGGAGAAGTCCTGCGGAGTGAAGCCTCTAATTTAAGATATTTAAGTCATTATTACTGATGTTTGCCAATTGTCTTTTGTAGAGAGGAGATGAGAAGTTTGTCCTATGTGTCAATATTCACATAAAAAACACAAAAACCAACAGTGTTTGTTTTTATGTCTATTTTCTCCCTAAAACCCTATTTATGAATCAGTTTTCAATTTTCAATCATTTCCTCATGTGTGATTTTTTGGGGTGCTTTCTATTCGACAGTGTTCTGTGTGTTTCTGAGGTTGAACGCAACGTTCTCTTCTTCTTCCTTCACATAATGTAAGAAAAAAAAACAATCCGGTTGTACTGATGCAGAAAATCACTAGACACCAAGCAATTACACAACAAAAGAACAATAGAGTTGAATTAGACTGCGGTGGATTCTGCTCATTTCCACCTCTGGTTCAAACCCCGCCTTTTATATACTTGGTTAGGTTTATGAAAAGATCATACCTGACGAGCCACCTCCTCCTCCAGTCGTGGACTTTGTCGCTCTTTATACTATTGCTGGTACTGCACCTTCATACACGTGTGTACTTCACATCTAGGCAAAGTAAAACATGACACTGACACGGTATCCTCTAGTGGATCGGTGAATCTATTACACGCTTTGGCGAGAGACTGGGTTGAATGCTTAGAGTCTACAAAAATGTAATTAATTACAAACTATACTAACTGTACAGTTTAATTAGTAATCTCAGTTAGTCAATTTACATTAAAATATAAAATAAAAACTCACTTAATATAGAGCAAAGATTCTCTAAAGGGTTTCCCTAAACTTTGGCATAACTATATATCTAACCCAACCCTACCTCAACCTTAGGCTAAGCTTAATCTTAACTCTTAAACCAAGTCCTAAGACTAAAGTCAGTTGTCAACCTTGTGGGGACCCGATGTTTGATTAAAATGCACATACCTGTCCTGTTGGAGTGGTTCTTCTCCTCCTGTTTGAGGATCCGGTTGCATTCTTCCTGAGCCTTCATGTGCTGAACCACCAGGGCGCAGTCCGGGTGGATGGCCTCTGTCTACAAACAGAGAACAGAGAGCGGAGTTGATTTGCACATGAAAGCACTCGGCAGTGATGATACAAGGTTTAGCGGGCAGCAGTGTTAACTTAATTTAACACAGACTACAATATTACCTACAGTACACTATTTATTAGGATGGTATGAATGTTTTAAATTGACAATGACAGTAATTCTTTCATTATTTATCTTGTGTCACAAGATTTTTATATAAAGACTGACCTACAAAAGGGTTTGACTTTTTGAGTCCCTAGGGTTCTTACTCTTTTTAAGAAATCATTTTCTTGACCTTTCCAGGAGATTTTCCAGACAGACAGTACAGGACAGCACTTACTCACAAATTGTCATATAATTTACTGATAGGCCTTGTATTGACCCCGGTTTTATTCCTCCTTTGTGAATCTTCTCAGGTTCATTACAGATAGATGGTCAGCATTTACGGGACAATCCACTTGGCTGTTCTCACCACTGCAGATTTTTGACTACTGTTTATTTATTTATTGTTTACTGCAGTTTTCCTCGTAACATCGATGAATCAACGCTGAAAAGATCACTAACTAACATATATAGTGATTTTAATCAATTTCGGAAATGTGTTAGGATTTTAGCATGTCTGGTGCCTTCACCTTGAAGTCAATGGGCTTTTTGGTTAACACAAGCGTATGAGATTTTCACGTTTTCTTCTACGACATTAATGACGTCAGAGAAATACACCGGCCATTAATTTTGAAGTCTTAAAAAAGGCGTTTGCTAACAAGCGGCTAAATACAGACTACAGAGGTTGTCTCTGACGTTACAACATGGAGACTTATCTACTCACTAGTACGCCTTCACAGCCTCAATGTGTTTATACCCGCACTCTTGCAAAACTATTCTGACTTAAACTTTCCAACTTGTACATTTTAATTACAAGATTTAGTTACAAGTTAGAAGTTTAGTGGTGGTGAGGCATCATATGACTGTGGTGTAGATTGTTTATACAATATGTATATAGGTTGATGTTTTATGTTAGCATTCAACTTCTGGAAATCACATTTACATTTCAAAAATCATAAAAGTGGTGTTTATTTATGAAGATTATCTTCCCGAACAAAACATTTAACTGTCATAATCCTTTGCTTGCAACAGAGCTTAATTTCTGCAGTAATCAAATACCCAATGGATAAATCCTATTAGCTTATTGTCGAAGGAACTGGGACAATGCTAACTCCCAGGTTAGCCTACAAAAACACATCATCTCTGCAGCACTCTACAAAGCTACTTAAAGTTGAAATCTATAAATACATTCAGTTAAAATATTTCAATACAGTTTAATTTTTTATCATATTCAAGAGTTTAATGATCAACACATTCACCTCGCTTGAACTCTGTGCGTTGCTAGTCATCACATTACCAAGCCAAGTTTGCTTAAAACACAGCCGTCCCACAGCAGCTTCAACACATTAAAATCAACACATTAATGCAAAAGAAAATCTAATACACTGTGGTAGCTGGCATATAATCCAACTTTTGCAAGTGTGGCTGATTTACATATTCAGCTACTTTAACAGAATCTGTCTGATTCAGCAAAGAAGGACTAAAGTAAATAACTGGTTTATAAGCCTTCACACTGTGTTTGGGAACAACCGAAGGAAGAACAGGGATTCAAACATAATGCAGAACACTGAAAGATGCATATTTCAGCATTAAACTGATTCCTTAAACATTGATTCTTACAAAAAGCCAACTGATGGAGGAACCCTGTGCTGTGGACCAAGGCTACCAGGGTTTGTTCACTGGCACAAATATCAAGCCAAGTAAATGCAGAAAGTGCATTTAATGTCTGCGGTGACCTTGTGAAATTTAAAACAACCCTTTATAATCAATATTATTTTTAAGTCAGCAGCATTTAAGTGTTTAAGTGTTGATTACTACTTACTACTACTTACTAATATTTTGTTCTGCCTAACATTCATGTGAGTTTAATTTAATCCTTATTTTATACATATCCCTGTCCTGCCTCTCACTGGACCTGACGGGCCCCGGCATGCTGAGTCAATTCGGGCCGAGTTCGGGCCTGTTTGGGGTTCTTACCATACTAGCGAAACCAATATTAATATTAATACAGCTAAATTCCACAATTCTCGATACCCAATTCAATACCATTGTAATGTTCTGATAATATTTTTGGCCCAGATCCCCATTTAATATTGAGTATCTGCTGATACCTAGTCCCGAACTAATCCTTGGAATTCTTTAATAATACAGGTGAATAGTTCTGCATTGCATTGATTTTGTATTTTTTTCTGCAGAAAGTCGTGATGCATTTATGGAGAAACAGTTTATTCAGTGTTGTGAACTATATGCTTTTGGGGGAACTTGTTTTTTGTATGGAATAATGGCGGGGTGGGACTAAAAAATCTTGTTTTTTCTGATCTTTGTTTATTTCTGTTCACCCTGGTTGAGAACCACTGCCCTAGACAGCAATTTATAGTGTTTTATCAACTATAGGGGCTTGCAAAAGGGGAACTTTTGCAGCATTTTAAAAAACATTTTATGGGCACCACAAGGGTAATAATATTTGTGGGTATGATTACAAATCACTGATAGTTTGGGGCCTGTGTGTGTTTTTGAGAGACAGCCTACATCAGGGAGAGCTTAAAGTCATATTGCTTTCGGAGTCGATCTCGGGCTAAAAAACTGCAGACTTTTTCGGGCTGGGGATGCAGTTTTTGGCCCATGCAGGGCTCTTCCTCTCACCCCATTTGAAAACCAAGAAGGCGTAGGCGGTTTCCCTCCAGTGATGAACCTCTGCACGGTAATCAGCACCCGACAGCTGACACGTGGGAGTTCAACGACTTCCTCTTAAATTCCTGACATCTACTGTCTCCTCTTCCTTGCATTTCCTTTCACGTCTTCTGAAGAATGTGCAGAGGAGGAGGACAGAAACCAGCAGACCCATATACAGTAGGCCTATAATAATCTTACAATATGTCTTTATTCAATAAGATATTATATTCCAGCAGAATCTTCACCCTTACATTAATTCTGTGCAATCTTGTCATAAAGTCTATTCATCTGTTCTGCTGTCGAGGCAGAAATAATCCCTATAATTGCTCCGAAGGTGTGTAATTGATTTCTGTAAATCTATTTGGTTTGAAATGTGTGAACCATTGCAGGTAGAACACCTGCCTGTTGGACAGATGGAGACTCTGCAGGTGAGCTTGACATTTGACCTCATCCTCTCACATCGCTGCAGTGTCCGGGATTAACACGAGAGGAGACGCACACTACCATTGGATAGGAACCCCTCCTGGCCTGTTGCAGGACATCTTACCCTACAGCTGTCAAGTTGTTGTCTAACGGTCATTCTGTGTGTGTCTTTCCTTCATTGGATCAGTTGCTCAGAAACTAAAAACTTAGTAAGAGCTCATTCTTGTGTCTCTACTTTGAGTCAAAAGAGAGAGAGTTTTGTATGTTCTGGACGAAAGGTAATAGGTTCATTCTATGTGCTACGATCTTGTGTTGCACAAACTGCAGGAGTTTGACAGTGAAGAACAGAGTTTGTGTCCCAGGTGTGATCAACCTGGACACACTCCCAAATCGTCAAATCAGTGGTCCTCCACTTCAAAATATGACATAGTCCTTCTAGTGTAATTTCTGGACACTCCAGCTGTCAAAGACAGTACATAGTGAGAATTATTGTTATTGTTATTATTATTATTATTATTATTATTATTATTATTATTATTAATACAGTTTGATTATGTTCATTAAAGTATATGAATTTTGTTTTGTCTTGTTTCCAAAACTGGTACCTGTCTTGCAACCCCTTTGGAGATTATGACTCTCAAACTGAGATGCCTCACACGGTAAATCCAGGTTTTCTGATACATAATGCCATCAGTTCCTTCCATTACACAGACTTATATGCTTGGAAGAGACTTTAAGAGCGAGATTAACTGTGACACAGGCTCCCATGATCAAATATCCTTTTTATTTTCCAACAGTTCTAAATTAAATACTCTTATTTTCTAATTTAAGGTCTGTCTGATAAATCCACAGTACCCCCTAAACACATAACTGTACATGAGGAGAATTTACTGTGAAAAGGCAAAATATTTACACATTTTTTTCCTTTTAACTGGGTGGCCTATAAACTTCTAAATCACTGATAGTTTATATCTACAGCAGAAACAAAAGAGTCTGTGTGGCTGAAACCCGATCTGGCAGCGCAGCCTCACCGTGACACAAAACATCACAGTCATATCTGCCCAGCGGGTTTATGGAACAAACCTCCTTTATGCAAGCAAGATAGTAGCACGACCTGCTGTCTTATGAAGCAGCACAAAGAGTAATTTTACAGTTTAGTGATGTGCAGAGAATCTGGTTTAACTGATATGATGAAGTGTAGAGCCCGGCAGATGTTTTTTCCCCAACTTAATAGGTGCAGAATAATAAAATCAGATTGTGTGTGGTGTGTGTGTGTGAGTCAAGAGTGCCATTTGAGCATGCACTTTAATTATTGTAACCCTCGATCCTAAATGGCAACAGTTTACGTGGCAGCAATGTCATTTAAATTCAATCACTGTCTTAACTGGGTCATTATCGCAGGGCGCCGGTCGCCTCCAGCCAACCTTTACCTCGCCGTCATCATTTACATTCAAAATTTAACAGTAATACAAAGGACCGGTAATCACCAGGTCTCTGATGTCATTAGAGTGTGTGTGTGTGTGTGTGTGTGTGTGAAGTATGCCTATTATTATTATTATTATTATTAAGTAATTGATTATTTTTCATTTCACGCTGATGATACACAGGTGTACCGAATCGATCAGACCTCTCCTCTCACTCACATCCTCCAGTCTCTTTTTTTGTCTGTATAAATATGAAGCAGTAGTTGGTGCCCACAGATAATCATCCCCAGACACAACTGCAAAAGCCTTGCAATACGTGTGAATATTTTGGTCAAAGTTGAATATTTTCAATGCGAATGGGACAGATTTCACATGGCCTTGCATTGACTTTGCATACATTAACAAAAATTCACTTTGCTTTCTGTGCGAACACGCCACTTTGTCCAGACAAACAGGTTCAAGCCCCAACACCCAAGTTTTAATAAACCGTAATTTCTCTTCAAACTTCTTTTAACATTTTAACAGCACAACAACATCCACCATCTGTCATCTTAGGAGCATCTCTTAAATTTGCATCATTCTTTTTATTTTCAGACACACAGACCCTTCCTGCCTTCGTTTCCAGTAACTGGATAACTGTCACTCATTATTGGCCCCTAAAATCAATTTAACCGCCTTCCATTTGGACAAAATACGACCACGAGAAAGATAACTCACAATCTAGAAAAACACCTTGACCTCTCTGCACTGCTCACTTGTGGCATTTAGAATTGATTTTAAGGCATTATGTCATGTTTTCAAGGCAGGCGCTTAACTTGCCTCCAGCTGAAGACAAAGGGTAGTGAGTCTGTTGACGTCAAGGCTCAAAAAGTGCTCTCTGTAGAAAATCTGAAGATTTTTTCTACAAATGGTGGAATGTCATAGCATACATTTATTAACGTACTGTAAGTAAAAGTTTACTTTACTAACATATGATGAGTTCACAAATAATGAAGCACTGTAATAATAAAACAAACAAAACATAAATAAATTGAACTAGCCAACACTATATGATGTAGTGAAAGTAATGAAAGTAGCTCTTATGTTGCTTACACAATGCATAAGTGAAATACATTTATATTTATTCTAATTCTAAAGGGCCCTGTTGAGTTTTTACGGGAAAAATTATAAATTAATAATGGTTGCAATGTTAAAATTATAACAGTGGGCCTACTTAACTGGATGGCAATATGTAGTCCTACCTGTGGTGTTTTAATGTTAAAATAATAATATAATCTACATGTAGTATTTTATTTCATACATGAGAACATGAAATAAGTGTAAAAAAACACATTGGTTTGTTCCCAGAGACAGACAGGACTTATCTGCACAGACTACTAATGACCTTTGTGCTGCTTGTTAGTTATCCAGTGCAGCTAACCTGTTGCTCGTCTGTGAGTCCGTTCACCACATCCCCCAGCATTTCAGACGGCATAGTGTTTACAGACACGTGAAAAGAGAAAAGGTTGACAGTGGATTGTTGTCTCTAGCACAGAGACAGTAAGAGGTCTCACTCTGCCACTATTACCAGAAATTTAAATGGTAAATTAACTGTACTTATATGGCGTTTTTCTAGTCTTTCAACCACTCAATGCGCTGTACATGCCACACTCACCCCATTTACACACATTCATAGACTGATGGCAGTGGCTGCCATGCAAGGTGCCATATTTACATAATAGTACAGAACAACTGATAAACTGTACAGTGAACCCAAATATTGAATATCTGACAGTTATTTATAGTTTTTATATAGTCCAATACTGTACAAATATTCAGTTTTAGTTCATCATTTTAGTCCAGTTATCCAGGTTGACTTTCTTCAGCTGCTCCCAGGTCTTTGAACAGTTTCCTCCTTTCATATGATCAGGAACCAGTATCGATGTCAAGGTAACAGTATCAAAAATATATTATTATTATACTAATGCCGTTTTAAGGAACTAAAAGGAACATTCTTTTGTGTTGATTCTGGCGACCCTCTGTGGACACAAGTGGTAGTGTTTCTACCGCATCGTTTCATTGATTTCAAGGGGAATTCGACCAAATCTGAACTGGTGGCAGGCATCAAGAATCACTATGTAGAAATAGCCACTGATGGTCTTGTTTGTTTATGTAAGTCATATAGAGGCATCAGCCAAGTCCTGATCTCATATATGTGTGTAAACATATTATATATGTACTGGCCAATACTGCATTTTAGGCAGTATCAGAGGAATTTCCAATACGGATATTGGCAATTTGTAAACCTGCTTTTAAGAATTGATGAAAAAAAGCTCACAGTATATATATATATATAAAATAAAATACCAACAAAGAGCAGGAAAAAAAGATGTGGATGTGTGCACACTAAGTCCCTCCTGCCATTATCGCTTTATATGCAAATAAAGTGATCCAGCAGGTCAATAAGTGGCATTAGACGTCCATCCTGCTCTTATCAATGTCAGTGACTATAATGAAAACGCGGAGTGGATCAAATGAGCACCTTCAGTCCTGATACCAATCAGAGGTGCAGCAGAGTCTCTGGAGGAAGCAGCTAATAAAGGTAGGGACAACAAAGGATCATTAACAGTCTTCAGGATTGGGGAAGAGATGTCATAAAACCAAATCCTCCATCAGGATTTAGATCCTGATGAGCCCTCAGGTGCGGCTGACGGAGCCTCCAGGATGGCATTAAGTTCAAATAAGGATAAAATGGAATACAATAGAAATATTCTCCACCGTGAATTGTCTGCATAATTTCAATTTCAAAAAGGGGAATGTGCATATGCAGAAAAAAGAAAAAAATATTAATGCTTTCTCTTTGCTGCTGTCAGTCTGGAGCCAAAGGCAGCAGAGTCAAGTGAGTGTCCAGTGTTAATGGAGCCACGCGAGACACCACTGCATCATACTTTTTATTGATTGATTATTTATTTGAGGTATATGTTTTTATCACTGTATGCTCCTGTTCATAGTTGAAACTTTCACTGATATTTATGTATCATTCATCAAATGTTAGGATTTTTTTATATTAGGACACCAACATAGAGCAAAAAGCAAAAGTCCAGGTGATATGGCAAACGTTGGGAATATTAAACCACCACACAGAACAGCTAATAATGGAGTTAAATCGCTTCATCCCCAAGGATTTGTACACATATGAAATTAGTCATCCCTGAGGTAATTACTGTTATTCAATTCAGACAGGTCAGACAACAGGAGGGCAGCACGTCAATACCCGCAGAAAACAGCTTCTCATCTGGACTTGCATTTCTGTATTAATATTTAATCTGACATAAATAAGGCATAAACTGGGGTCCACGAGTGGGTTGTAGGGGAGTCCCCAGCAAAAGGAGAAATATAATATTAACAATTTTATCCCATTTTTTGGAAAATGAAAGAAAAAGAACGAGGGAAGAAATAGGGTTGGCGTTTTAGATTGAATGTAAATGAAGACTTTATTTTCTTCAAACCTAAAAATAAAAACATTACACAGAGGTGATGACTTACTAGAAAATCCTCTCAAACTGGGGGTCCATGGTCTAATGTGCATCTTTTTGGGGGGTCTTTGCCCTGAAAAAGTTTAGGAACCCCTGCAATAAGTTATTCAGATAGCTTAAGATTCCCATTACATCACATGTAGCAATCTAAATGATGAAAATAGTATATAAGTTGTTTAAAAACTGCTTATGGTGTTAAATCTATAAAATCTAACTGAACTTTCCCCCCTTTTCCAACCAAGGGAGTATATGGACATAATTCAATTAAACTGCAATACAAGAAAGAAGAAAATGACAAGTAAATAAATAAATATCCAAATGAGCAAACAATATTTAATATTAAAAGTAGAAAAGGTTGGTTAACTGTGCTATTTTTATTTCTAAATTATATTTGAAATGCTTAAATTAATTAGAATCGAATATATTTATGGTTGTCAAAACTAGGAAAAATAATATGTACTAAGACCTTTAAAACTGGCAGATTAGGGCTCCCATAGCAAAGTGTAAACTGCTTTCTTCTTTAAATATGCAGCAAAAAAAGCTTCTTTTTGTTAGTGTCAAACAACCTAAATCTGAATGCACTAGGGGGTTGTTATAAACCTGGTCCCGCAGATCCAGAACCTGAGTGTTACCACTGTTGGACTCACCGTTTCCCACGCCGCCAGCTGCAGGATCAGACCCACGTGAAGTAATGTGGTCATCCGTTTCAAGCACGAGCTCCCACAGATGAGCATCAGAAACATTTCTAAGGTTTGTTCACTTTGGAAACTACCGACCGGAAAAGTAAAAATATGTCCACGGATGAAATCAGTCTTCTGGAATGAGAAACGACCCCCGCGTTAAAACAATCCATGAACTGAGCCGCTTGTTGGCCGTTTGCAGATGAGACTGTGGTCTCTACGGTGTCCGGTGCAGGGGAAGATCCGCATTACGCACGGTGGAGAGCCGGGACTCGACTGAGCCACACAAGGTGCGCTCCTCCCTGATAAGGCAGCGGAGACGGAGCGGAGCGCACAGACGCAGCAGCGGCGCGGAGCTGCGCGCTGACACATCTTTACCTGCGCACACAGCTGCTGGAGTTACATTCAGACCGGCTCAGTGACCTAAAACTAACCCTACAAACACGCCTGTTTGCTGGTATGTTATCTCCTGTGTTATAGACAGTGTGTGGCAGATACAGATGGGTGACACATGAAAGGGACAACCTAAATGAATGAGAATTCATGATGAGAATTAAAATGATGTGAATTAATTAAGAGAATTGAGACTAGGATTTTAAAAACATCAAAATATCAGAGGCTTAAGTAGACATCAAAAACACTTTTGGACCTTGAGTCAAGATATAAAAAAAATATATACATTTTTCATATTCATTTTTTTATTGTTTCTTGTAAATAAAGCAATCCTTTTTTTTATTTATTTATTATTTGTTTGCACCAGAGTTAGCTAACAGCTCATTTGCATCAGGAGGACAATAAACGACCACATAACCATAAATACACAACATAAAACAGCACAGTACATAAAAGGTCTATTAGTGTGAGATAATAAGTAGAATTAATATGATAATAAATACAATAAAGGCAATCACTGGTGATGACATTTTTGTGCTGACTTCCGCCAGAGCTTGAGGCTGGTTTAAACACTGCAGAGCTTCCTGAGTCTCTAATGTTAATGGGCATGGAATTCCACTTCCTCACTATTTAAACTGAGAGAAAGCTGATCGACCAAAGGCCGTCTTCCTGAACTGCGGCATCCACTCACCCCTAGGTTCTGCCGCTGCTGGTAAAGGTCAGGCATCCTCAAAGAGGAAGGAGTGCAGATTATGAATAATTTGATTTATTTATTTTTCAGTTTGAAAAGATGAGGTATTGAGCCATCCCTAATGAAAACTGACTCATATTTCATAACATTAAGAATACTCATGAAATGACAAGGTAATTTCTGAGGGCTTTTAAAGTGAGTTTATGTTACTTTTGAAAGAAGAAATAACATAATTGTCATTTTACAAATGAAAAGTTGAATTCATAAACAATTAAAGACAACCCTATTTAGGGTTTATTTGATAGGGACAGATACAGCAAACATAGTAAGAAGTGTTTTTAGCCAAGGCTTTTATGAAGTTAAGGCAGGAAGGTAAAAACAGAGTAAACAGAATACAAAAAGAAACATTTAAAGACATTACATCTAATTGTATAATGTGTAAATGTGCCGCTAGGGAGTCTCTCACATCAAAACAATAACAAACTTTGATGACGTCTTGTAGTAGCGTGGGATCATGGGAGTTG